TTCGTTACGGAAGTACGACGGAATACCGTAACGAACCGAACCGTAACGTAGTAGTAGTGACAGAAGAAGTAATAATAATAAAAAAAAAAAAATAAATAAAATAATATATATATATATATATATATATATATATACATAAATGCCAAATAAGTTATATATTTATTACAGCTACAGGAATTCAAATGTGAGAGGAATTGCAGAAGCCAGGAAAACGCTGAGAAGTGGGCACAGAAGACCAGAAAGGCCTTTGCAGAAGTAAGCAGGGAAGGGGCTGAGCTGGGCGGGTGACAGGCTGTGTCCCTGTTGATGGGACACAGTGAACAGAACTGTGGCCAGAAGGAAGGTACATGTGGGGAAACTCTTGGAGATGAACTGAGAGATGCAGATGAGGGCATCGGAGTTACCAGGTTAAAGAATTTGAAGATGGTATCAAAACCACAGTCTGTTTGAGAGCTGTAATTATTTTATGATTCAAATTAAAAAAAATTCTGATGTATATTCCTATGAAACATGAAAAAATGCACTTTTTTTTTTTTTTGCATTGCTCCATGTGGCATACCTAAGCAGGACCAATTTCAGGGTCATGAGACCCACGCAGCACCTGAGCCCTGTGCTTAGAAAATCCTTGAGCTTGCTTTTAAGCTCTGCTCTCAACATCTTGAAATTCTTCATACTTTTTAAACAAGGGGTCCTGTATTCTTAATTTTCACTGGGTCCCGTAAATGACATAGCTGGTCCTGCTATAAGGAAGCGCAGAAGACTAAGCTGACATTAACAGGCTGGTATTAATTTATCAGATGCCCCGTGGATCCACAGAGTGTTATTTCGAAGGACATCTGAAGAGTGAATCACTTTTGGGTCCCAATGAAAAACTAAAACTCTTCAAGCTTAATAACTTTTTTTTTAGCTTTTTATCAGTGTAGTTGATGTACAGCGTTAGTTTTAGGTGTACAGCAAAGTGATTCAGTTACACATATACATACTTAGATGCATTTTCTTTTCCGATTCCTTTCCATTATATGTTATTACAAGAAATTGAATATAGTTCCCTGTGCTCTACAGTAGGCGCTTGCTGTTTATCTAGTTTATATATAGTAGTGTGTGTCTGTTAGTCCCCGACCCCTTATAACATCTGATTTTAACAAGTAAAAAATAAAAACCAAAAATAGCATTTTGTTCACTGTTTAATCACAAACTCCCCCAAATCAGAGGATATTTGGATTAAAGAGACAAGATGAATGATCCCCTACTTCCAAACATTTACGAGACGCTAAGTACAGTTTTGCTAACTCCTTCAGGTTTTCTTTCCAGTGGAACCTTTTCTGTCTTCCGGCTCATTCTTTCTTTATTTTTTTAAAGCAGGAAACTTCCATTTCTAGGAACAAAAGAACTCTAATTCTGTTCTTTCTCTCTTCCCACGGGATCCACCGTCTCTTGTCTCTGAGGGAAAGTAACCCCTCCCTCCTAGCAGAGCCATGAATGGGGGAGGAAATGTAAGCCCTTAATTACTACAGATGTTACTTTATGGAATTTTTATTCCAGGAGAGCTACAGAGCGAAACGCGTATGGCCCAGAGCCCCCTCTCTGTTCAGTCTCTCTCTGGGCGCTCCTCAAGAGAAAAGGCAGTTAAGAATCTAAAGCCTGCAAATCAAACCCCTCCTCTTTGTCTGTAAAATGACACCGCATGCTAAACACTGAAACTGAACGGGGTTGGTGTGCACGTGCGTGTGCTTGCTAATTTCCCAAAACGTGTTTTAGAGAACACAGAAGAGGCCAAAGAAAAAGCCAAGGGGCCAACCCACTCCACCCACCCAAAATAATTTTTTCCTGGTTTGAAACCCTCGAGGCTTCCCCTTTGGAGTCTCTCCTACCATCGATCGTCTTCTCTTAGGACAGTTTTACAGCCATGTCCAGCTGGGTGGGGGCTGTTTCTGTGAGCACAAAGACAGCAGCCTGGTGTTCACTTTGGCTTCATTCAGATTTCACTAAATGAGTGTCTGCAGTGAGCCTTCAGAGACTCTCGCCTCCGAAAGAATAAATGCAATAAAATCTGCTTTCTGTAGCTGCCGGCGCTTCGTGTCAAACCGCGTTACGTGGCACCACCCAGCAGTGACAATCTCATTTTAATACACAGGGCGCATTTTCACGAGGCTAAGCAGTCCCGGCCAAGACGCCAGCAATATGGGAGCTGCCAAGGGGAAAGGCTCGGCAGCGCTGCTCAGGCGTGTCATGTGGGATCACAACAAAAGTGGGACCCGCGGAGCTCCGGGAAGGGGGACGACTGCATTTGAATGGCCCCCTTAGGAAGAACGCGCCGTTTTCTGCTCAAGTTTCGCAATTAGCCGCTTTGAAAGGCCAGCCCGAGCTCTCTGCAATCTGCCACGCGCTCCAGCTGAAACTGACACTAGCATTATCGAGTGGGACTGAAAAGGCAGCTCACCAGACGAGGCTGCCTCCCCGTGTCCCCTTCAGAGGGGACACTGAATCATTACAACGGCAACTATTCTTCCCAGGCGGTACCCAAAGCCCCCGACATCCCTCAGAACAGCTCGCGTGCCGGGCCGACCATTCACCAGGCGATGCTTTAATTAGGTTCCTACAAGGCTCCAATCATTGTATAAAGCCTCAGGGTTTTCTGTCAGGTCTGATGTTTAAATATAAACACACATGAAAGGTTCTGTTTGACATTCTTTCTTGTCTCAGTGCCTAGGAACCTGGCTTCAGTCGTTCGAAGCGCACCGCTGAATTGTGACTTTACTAAAGAAATTGCTTTCCCAACACCTACTCAGAGGAGTAAGTTTCACAGCCAGTACAGTCCCCGCAGGCAAATGACATCAGGTGAGAGCCTGATCCAATATTAGCAGAATGTTCTGCGTCGGACGTAACACAAGAGGTAGAAAAGGCTTTGGTAAAACTGTTCGCAGCCCATCTGTCTCACCCCAATAGGGAAGCTCTCCACACATGATCCTAAAGCAGTAAGCATTTATTCACCACGTATTTAAAACAAATCCACCCTGTCATTTATTACAGTTAATCAGAGGTTTCCACCATTGTGAAATTCTTTGTGGTTTTGCAATCACAGGCTCTGTACAAATTATTGGCAACTTGGAACACACAACTTTGCAAGCCAGTCATCCCTGTTTCCGGTGAAGGGTCCACATGAAAAGAGTTCGAAAAGTACTAAAATGTGCACCCCTTCTGACATTTAGAAAACAAATTATGTGATTTCCATCTTAATCCCTGGTGACAGAAGGAATAATACTGAGTTTCGGGGGCAGGATGAGCGAGTGAGTGGAATTTTTTTCTTAGTTTTTGCTGTTGTTTTCTTCTTCCAGGCTGCTTGATATTCGTATGAGGCCAGTGTCTCACGTGCCCGATAATGCAGCGCAGGGGTCTCCCTGCCTCCTCCCTTCGCAGAGACCCAGACATTCTGGTGGCGCCCTGCTTACCATCGCAACACATCCCTCTTATGAAATGGAATTGTGGACAATATTTAGCTGCAGAAGACCCTCTCCAAAGTTTGAGAATGCCATATCTGGGGGACTAGAAATAGCCAAAGATATCAACTTCTCTATTGCACAGATGAAGCAACCAACCCTAGAAGGCAGCTTCTCTAAAGACTAGTTAGTAACAGAAACAGGCTCACAGACACAGAAAACAAACTTATGGTTATGGGGGGAGGA